CCTCTGCCTCCCCTCCCCTTCAGTTCACCTGATCACAAGTCTTCCAAACCCTCAGTATTTCAGGGCCTGATTCACACTTTTTTTTTCCACTAGTGCTACCTGCTCAACTCCATGTCCAACTGCCAACATCCTTCTTTCATTTCCTCCATTAAGATTTTTCTGATTGTTCCAACTGATTCAATTACTCCCCTTTTAAAAGTCCCATATAGGGCTGGGGATGTGGCTCAAGCGGTAGCATGCCCATCTAGCATGCGCTCGGCCTGGGTTCCATCCTCAGCACCACATACAAACAAAGATATTGTGTCTGCCGAAAACTAAGAAATAAAATATTAAAATTCTCTCTAAAGAAAAAATAAAAAAAATAAAAGTCCCATATATTTGCTTTTATATTCCAAGTATTTTATTGAGTACTTTTAGTCACTTTAGACACTAGGGATATCAGAATGAATGTAAACAGACATAGACCCTGCCTTTGTGTGGCTTATAGTCACACAGAGATGTACAAAATCACACTTGGGACATGTGTTTTGAAGAAGTAGTGGATGGAGCCGTCATTACAGAGATTTGATCTGGTCAAGAGGTCAGGGAAAGGTACTTAGAGAAGCAACACTTGAACAAAGAACTAGAGGATAAGCAAAGAGGGTTGTGAATTCAGGTATCTAGATACAAAGATCTAGGGGTTGTCTAATCTTCTCTTGTATTGTTTATTATCATGCTTATCTTCTGGCCCCCCGTTAACGAAAGTTCCTTTAAAGCAGGGCCTATTTCTGGTCCATCTTTCTATCCTTTATAGAGGTTAGGACTAAAGCTTGGCCAAGGCAGGAAGAAAGTTATCTAAATGGACTGAGGAGACATTGGCTGTTTTTGCAGAAACCCTTAGCATACCACCTTCAAGCCCCCTGGAGCACTGAGAGGTCATCTTGTGCCATCTCTACCACCTTCCTTTGGGGTAGCCAAGGAACTGTGTCATTTCTGGCTCCTGGCCTAGATTTATGTCTGTCCTTGATGAAGGAATCTTCTCGCATTGCACTAGGGTTTCAGGTCTCATGCGTTTGTGAACACAGCGGTGGCCTGTCCTTGTGGGACTCCCTGTGAGCTATAGAATTTGGAACCACAGAAGGAATACAAGGGTGATTGTACCAGAACAGTGGGATTTGTTACAGTCTGTAAGCCCTTCTCTCCCACTGCTTCCGACCCCCACTCTGTTCCTCCCACACCAGCCTTCTTTCCACCCCTCAGATATACTGCAAACATTTTTATCTCAGCCTTTTGTCACTAATCCTTCCACCATAAATGTTCTTGTTAGGCTCTTCAAAGAGTACCTTTATATCACCATGTAGGCCTACCTAAAAATGTCAGTTTCTGAGGGGAGCCATTCCTGAATACCTCAGCTAAAGGAATCCTCTATGCTCTGCCTCCTCCTCATTCCTTATTTGATTTTATTTTCTCTGTAGCAGAACTTACACCAGTCTAAAATTACCTCTTTCAGCCAGGCACAGTGAGTGACATACACCTGTAATCCCAATGACTCAAAAGGCTGAGGCAGGAGGATTAAGTTTGAGGCCAGTCTGGGCAATTTAGTGAGAGCCTGTCTCAAAATAAAAATCAAAAGGGCTGGGTATGTAGATCAGAGGTAAAGCTACATACCCAGTGGGTTCAATCCCCATTACCCCCCAAATAAATACATAAATAAATAAAAAGAAGAAAAAGACGGAAGGAAGGAAAGAAAGAAAACAAATAACCTCTTTTAGCAGAGTGTGGTAGCATGCGCCTGTAGTCCCAGCTATTAGGGATCCTGATAAGGGAGAATTGCCTGAGCCCAGGAGTTCAAGTCCAGCCTGGGCAACCTAACAAAATCCCCTCTCAAAAAAAAAAAAAAAAAAAAATCTTTTTCTAGGTTCATTGCCTTCCTATAAGAATATAAGCTTCATAAGGGCAGAAAATTTGTTGGATTTTTTTCTTCTGATTTCTGGTAACTGGAAAAGAGGAAGTATTCATAAAATGAATGGATGAATGGATGAATGAATGCCCCGCCCCCCAGTATGTGACTGGTTACATGCCTTCACTGGGGCTAAAGCCACATTGCATTTAAGATTCCAATCTGGAGCCTGGTGCCTTGCCTGTAATCCCAGTGGCTGAAGGGGGGGAGTGGGGCAGTGGGGGACGGGAGGCAGGAGGATTTTGAGTTCAAAGCCAGTCCTAGAGAGACCCTGTCTCTAAAATATAT